TGAAGAGCTGTGCATTTGTGAAAAATCTTCCTGAGATGTCAGGTGATACATGATGCTGCATGAATATAAAAATATTTGCCAGTGCTAATAATTTGTTAGTATTATCACGCCTCGTCGGGCACTTATTTGTGCATGCCAGTGATGAATGGTTATGAATAAAAATTTTTTTTTTTCTTCTATAAATACGTAGTATGTACATTGTTATTTGCATACCAGTTAGTTTCTTTAATTTGCCAATAGAGAATTTCTAAAAAAAAAACAAAATAAACAAGACTTTTCTCGCAATTTTTTCGTCGATAGACTGTGAAAGTCCTCAGAGCCTCTTGACTAAAATTCAAAAGCCGTTCCGTGACTTCTCTGAAGTATGCTATAAATTGCTTAGACTGCCTTTCCCCTTAGAAGCTCTGCTGTGTATCTTTTTAATGGATCATATAACTACATAAGCTCCGTTGGGATCCATATTTTTAGTTGCCATCAAACTCCTCATGTCCGAGTAACCACCAAAGGGCGATCCTGTTATGTGTGCTGAACTGGTTCAGTATTATTTTCCCTTCGGGAATCATTACCTTGTATGTCTTATTGAAACATAATTCCGGTAGCATTCTCTTTCTGAGTTTGTTCCCCAGTTGTAAATTCGACTGAATCAAAAAATTACGTATACGACCTGGTGGTAGGTAAAAGAAAAATGTGTTATATCGACGCCTGAATGGAAGATCGATCTACCTCGGCAGTCAGTTCGACAACGCCCTATCACAAAAAAACTTTTCAAGAACGCCCTATTTCATAATTTATTTGAAGACCGGCCTATTTCAGAATTGTGTACAAAAACACCTTATCTCAATATATTTTCAATATATGTATTTTCAGTTGAAATAAGGCACTTTTAATCAAATTGTGATGCACAGCATTCTTCATCCAAATTCTGAAGTAGGGCGTTCTTGAGCCCTGAAAAAGCGCGTTTTCGAACCGGCTGCCCAGATAGGTCGATATTCCACCCAGCCGTCGATATGTACATATCTTAATACTAACCCTCTGAAGGCTCCTTGGTTCAATTACTGATAAACGAAACTTCCTAAAAGTTATACAAAATAAGATTTATAACATTGGTCGACTCTCTAAAGAACGGTGAACCCGATGTACTTCTCTCATGAGAGAACTCTGGCTATAAGAGATGGCATACAACTGAGACCGACAATTGTTTGTTAGACATCAATTAAATTCAACGGAAAAAGCATGCAGAATAACGGCCACGGGGGTACATTTTTTACTCTGGGAAAACAAGCAACTCTCCACAGAAAATAAGCAAATAACGGAGGGCGTATTTCCATTTCATATTTGCGTTTAAGAACTCGTAATTTAATTTGGAAGAGTAAGTGATTACACGTTATTTCATCTCACTGAAACCAGAAGTAGGCATACTCTGTCACTTGAAGCTCAAACGAATAAGCAGAATAGAAAATCCACATACATGGCCCATGCTCACCAAAAAAAAAAAATATAAATCCGCTCATGTAAATCGGGTATATTAATATTCGAAGACAGTAGCTCTGTTTGATGGCAACATGTAAACACCGCCAATCAACAAAGCAAAAACAATAGAAACCAATCGAAAGAACAAAAGCAATAGCGATAACGAATATGCGATGAGCAATTGTATAGCGTTTTTTTTTTAATTTTCTTGAGTATGCAGGATGAACGTTCGAATAAGCTGACTGACTTAACGCTCCAATAGCTTCATTAAGAAAATAAATCAATGAATAAACGCACACCAAGAACGTCATTTTAAATGCCAAACATAGATGAGAAAGGCGTTGAGCTGCTGAAAATCTATGAATATTGAGTAGCTTTCTTTACTTGCTTTCTTTGAGCTTATTTCACAAAGAGACTGAGTGAAATTTCCTGAGAAAATAAAATTTTTTACTTGCATTTAAGCTCGCGAACACGTCGATGCATGTACACATATACATACATACATATGTATATGTAGAGGTATACATATTTATGTAGGTCTATCCTTAAAACATTGACGTTGAAAACAGTAATCTGGCTGTGATATTTGGATTTACTGAATGGATGCTTGCGTGCCAACAAAAGATATATGTATTCACTGCTACATAGTTGTTGCAAGCGCTCGTTGCCACATCTTGCCGACCGGAAAGTGAAATGTGCAGTCAACCTGACTATGCAGCTTTGCATATATGCACATATTTATATATGAATGCTTGTGCGCACATATGTAGATATAAAATGAAATCGATCAGAAGGAATTTAAAAATTAATTACAGTGAAAGCATTCGTTTTTATCCCTTTTCTGGCCACACTTGGCTACATACAAATGCATGTGCATCAGTTTATTGATTCCGGAGCTACAATTTTAATTTTTCAAGTTATTTGCTACAAATCTTTCCAACAGCAGCTCGATAACTTTAGATTAGTTGAATGCAGCAATTTAACATTCCTAAATCTCCATTTTAAGCTGTAAAATGTTACTCTAGCCATACATTATATTTTATTCCATTTCGAATGTAAATAATTCGGAAATAAATAATATAAAAAAAA